TGAATTCCAAAAGATATGTCTATTGATTCAAGAGACATATCCCTTCATCAAAGAGCCTTCTAAAGTGTCTATATGCATTGAATCACTCCATGGGTGTTTGAAACATGTGGACCCTTAAAAATTCATGCAAAATTCGTCTTGAACCACCTTAATTCATAAAAAAGTCATCTTTGGTGCTGATTCTGACGCTTCAGGCGCCAAGTTGCTTAAGTCTGCACTGTTTTGGGTTCTGGCGCTTCAGGAACCAAATCTCTGTAAAATGGCGCTTCAGGCGCATGGCTTTCTGTAAAGTGGCGCTTCAAGCACCAGATTCACAAAATTCGCTATTTTGGTTCCAAATTTCGTCATTTTTGTTACTTTTGCTCCAAATACCTAAAATTAATATACCTGCAACAAAAACATAAAAATATTCTTCTTTAAAGTGAAATATCACCAAAAATAGGTATAAACTGTATACTTAAAATAACACATTTTTTTGGTGTATCATTAATCTCTGCATGTTATCATATATCATGCTTATGTTACTAACCTTGCAACTGCCAAATGAGCGTTAGACATGCATTTACAGTTTATTTACTGTAATTTTATAGCTTTATTTTACGGTTAATTTACTTTATCAAGCATGCTTTACTAGTAATACCTGCAAAACAAAAACACACTGCCCAAAAATAAAATATACACTTTTAAATAATGAACGGACATAATTCACCCTTTTTGGCTTTACGAGAAACACTTGGATGAGGTAACCCACGGTTGTTAACGAGAATTCTCTGGTTTAAACAAATTAAAAACTTGTTCAGACAAAGTAAATTTAAGAGAAAATAATGATGTCGGGAGGATGGAACCATGAGATCTTACCAACATCGCTTAACATAAAATAAAATTCTCCCCCAAATACTTAAGCAATAAACAAAATACAAACATAAAACATAATCATGATATAATAAATAATACACAAAACAATAACATAATACATAAACCTTAAACCTTGGAGCCGCCACTTTAACAAGGAGGTTGGAGCGAGCTACAAGTATAGGCGGTCAATGATCTGCAACAACAAACAAATCTACTTAACCCAAACTTTCCTTAGCCATAAATAACATAACACATAGGATTTCGAGGTTATCCGCCTGGTGCGACATAAATTCTCATCTTTTCCTTAAGTTTTTGCACAATAATGTTGCGCAATATAAGCCCTAACACTTTTAGGATTTTGAGGTCATCGTTCGACATGACGTAAATCCTTCCATCTTCCAAGTTGTTTACATGATCATATATTGTGCAGATATAAGCCCTAAGTAATAAAATCGGTAGGATCAAAACTTCAAATAATATCATCTTCAAAATTGAAGTCAAATCATATGATAGCTTGGGAAGTCATTGAGGTTCTCTTAAGGATCTGTGACTACCCCTAGTCTTCTCCCTTTAGATTTCATAACAATGTTCTAAATTTGAGCCTTTCCCATTTGACACTTCTTGGTCTGATTTTTGAAAAGTTCTATCCTTTAAAATTCTTGAAGATAATATTTCCTGACCTCAATTGAGATTTTTCTTAGGAGACCTCGGTCATTTAAGATGTAATTAACTATAGGGATTTGCTTCTATAGGGAGCTTTAAGAACTCAGGTAATATAAACCTTATGTAATCTTCCATATTAGATAAGGGAACTTATCAACTTATATAAAAATGGTTCACAGACCAAATAAATGTCATAAATACTTTAATTTATTTAATCGAGCACCATTAGCAAGCAATGTGTCTACTCATCAAGGTAGATGCATCATTTGTGGTGGTGCGCTCATTTATTTAAACTATTGTTTATATGAGATCAGCTCAGTCACGTATGTTTAAAATTAAAAAATTACTTTTCAAAATTAAAATACTATTTTTATAAAAAATTCAATTTTATATATACATTAAATTAAATCAAAACCACATCTCACACTCCAGAATTGAACTTTTAGCGACCGACAGTCCCATCAGATGAAGAAATTTGGCAGGCCCTTATATCCATTAATAGTAATAAGGCTACAGTTCCAGATGGTTTTAGTGCATATTTTTATAAAAAGTGTTGGAAGGTCATTAGTGAGAATGTGATCAAAGCAATTCAAGCATACTTTCAGGGTGAGGGACTAGGAAAATACTTTAACACGGCTACAAATGTTAGAATCCTTCCGTAACGAAATTCTACATGAAATAAAGTTTGTCAAATTAACACATCACAAATCTTAATATAAAACAAAATTAAAATAAATGACGCCAAAACAAAACATAAATACTCTTCAATGTGATACCGAGTTGGTAAGACAATTTCGTCAACTTTTATATGCCCAGAAATAAAACATAACGTTTCACTAACATTCAGAAGTTTTCAATTAACAGAATCAATGCCGTCACCGAGCTTGACCTTCCTGTTCAACGTGCATACTAACTGAGATGCCCACCATGCAGCATCGATGATCTAAATTGGGTCTGGGTTATGTGAGTTCGAGGTGCTACTCAAAAAAGCAATTTATGTAATAGCAAAGTTGGACGTCCCCGATGTTCAGGAGCCATCTTCTGAGTTTGAACTGAACTACATCCAAAACTTCCATTCTCTCAAGCAGGTGAAGGTCCGTACCATCCCTTTTATGACTGTTACTCCCATTATTGCTAGATCCATTCCTACTGCCGTCGGGACTGTTACAGCTTCAGCTACTGAATTTATCGTTACTCCGCCAGCCATCCCGTTAGTGAAAGGAAAGGAAAATTTGTAGGAGGATGATTTAACGAATGTCTTTGCTCCACACCACTCAGTGTTTGAGATTGGATCCTGCTCTAGGTTTGTGCCACTAACACGATCTCAAAAGAAGAACCATAAGAGAAGAGAATTAAAGGCTCAGAGGGCACAAGCTGTTGAGTTAGCCCTAACAGAGACAACCCCTTTACCATAGGAGATAGAGTCAATAGAGACCTCACCTCAAATGAAGGGGAGTAGCTTCCATCCATTGTCTGTCGCTGCAAGAGAGGAGGGCATTTATCAAATTGCCCTCATGTTACCACCTCCATCCCTCCAAAATGGACGGGGGGGAAAAGAGGAAAAGGACCA